AAAAAATCACACTTTCTGAGCAATTTTTTTTAAATGTTTTTATATAGGTAGGGACCGCCAAACCCTCAGAGCTTAAAATTTTAAGCAATGTATTTGCACTTGCGCGTGTCAGATTGTACTGACTGCACCATTTGGAACCAAGGTACATTGAACAGGTAGTATCAGTAGAGCAGCTGATTTGATTTATTTTCAAATTATTTGGTCTCGAAAATGTCAAATATTTTTAATTTTTTCTCACAAAAATTCTGAATTGTTAAAATCCATTTGCATGTGAAACCTTTTTCCATACAAAACAAGCGATTGAATAGCAGCTTTTGGAACGTTCGCCCAACTCAGCAGCACAACCGCTGATTACTGGCCCTTGTAAAGGATGGATCAATGCTTCGAGAAGCAAACAAATTTACTAGGAAAGAATGTTGCATCAATTTTTATTTTTTTCAATTGAAATTTTTTATTTTTAATTTAGTATTTTCTCTGGCTTTATTTTACTGAAGCATTCCAATTACAGGCATACATTTGCATAAAATGGAACGTATTTTAAACGAATTGCTCTCTATTTTTGCATACAGTGTAGTTCTGCGTTGAATTCCCTTCTGCAGTATACGCATAAAATCGAACGGTATTTTTGACAATAACTGATAAGCGAATTATTGTAAATTAAAGGTAAATTGTTACTGTTTTTTTTAGCCTTCAATGCGATGCTCATATTTGTTCTCAGCGTCTCAGGTTTTTCAGTGGTGGCGGGCAAACGCGGAACGCCGCGGTTGAGCGCCAACAGGCTCGCTTCCCCTCCTGCCCCCTCGTCATTACGCCGGAAAACAAGGAATGAAACCGAAACCCAAACCGAAACCGAAACCGTAGCCGTTATCTTGACCTGAAAAGGAACGATACCGAAACCATTTCAATCACAGGTTTCAATCGGTTTCCAGAAATTTACAAAAATAATAAATAAAACTTTATTTGAAATAAATGATTTATTTAACCAAAATCAGCAACATTTTGCTAAAATTCTTGTTAAGTAGTAAATAAGTATGGCAAGGTAACTTTTCGCAAAAATCTGCTGATGACTTTGTTGTTGTGAATCGATACTCGTTTAATTATATTTAAGTAGTTTCTTTCCCGTACGCAATGCGAGATCCCGCGTGTGCCCAAAATAGCCCAGAAATCATGCCTGTACTCAACAAAATGGGTAATAGAGAGCGAAAATTCGAGCGTATTCGATCGTAAGTGTATTCTTCTTCCTGCCCGAAACAGCCCGAAATTTTCTCCGAGTAAAAATGGATAAAGTGTCAAAGTGCATATCAGCTGTATTGCGTTTACATGTTGCCTGCATTTACTTGGTGCTTTTAAGGAAAAGTGAATGGCCTGTTGATGTATTTTCAATCTATGTACTAAAAATCAAATTTCTGAAACCAAAATTCAATTTCCAAGTGTTTGCATTTAATACCATGTTCTGACCGACAACCAAAACATTTTTCCTTCATTTTCTTTTCATTTACAACCTTTAACTTTCATTCTTATTTTGCTTTGGCCAGGCAATTAACAATAAATCCGAAATGGCGTATTAAAGATGATAAAATATGACTTCCACTTCGATAAATAATCGAAAAAACTAGTGAAGACACCGATTGGAATGAGTGGAAAGTGAGTTTTCAAGTAGTTTTCAGCGAAAACTGGTTTTCGTTTAACAGATTTTATATGGACGAAAACTGGTCGAAAACCAGTTTTAGCAACGAAAACATGTTCCCATGTCGGTCAGAATATGGTATAAGTGACAAAAACAAGAACAACGTGAATCAGCTGTTTCTCGACTTGTGGGCACGAAATGTGGGTTTTTGCGTTTCCGTACTTCTGAACTTTGTTCCATTTTTGAAAGAAAATGTTTCTCTTATTTTCTAATTACCAAATCCGGTCCGGATTGTTAGGGAAAGAACCTAGTGTTGATATTATCAGTGAACTGTAATTTTCGATTTTCTTTCCTCAACGTTTAAGACATTGGCCCGTAGTCATAGTCAAAATAAAGTCGACTTTAAAGTTAGTTGCAGCTTTTTTGCAGATATCCCATTGAAAATTATGTCAAAAAAGCTGCAACTAACTTTAAAGTCGACTTTATTTTGACTATGACTACGGGACATTGTGATTTAAATAATATCAACAAAATTTCTGTGAAAAACCGAAACCGGAACGAAACCGAAACCAAAACCGAAATACATTTTGAAGAACGAAACCAAAACCGAAACCGAAACACTTGGCAAAACCGAAACCCAAACCGGAACGTTATTTTGAATCGGTTTCATTCCTTGCCGGAAAATTTATTTGTTTATATACTTACATTATTTAAATGCTCTATATGAATGTACGATGAGGAGTTGGGGTTGTTAGTGTACCTTCGCCGCAGATATACTGTGGTGATGTGGATGACGCACGGGTTGTTTTAACTGAGAAGGCGACTGAAAGTTTTCGCAAACCACAAAAATCTATCTATGTTTATATCTACAAACTTTTAAAAAATTTAAGAGAAGAGTATGTTTAATATCGAGTAAAACTGATGTTTATTTTTACAAAGTCGGCTAAAAATTAAATGAAATATTCAAATTTTCATGACAAATTATTTCAGAATATTGCTTTCACTACAAGGAGAAATCGGTGAAAGCTGAATTAAAACAAAGGTTAAGCAAAAATTTTTGACTTGTATAGCCAAAAATATTCTTTTTCTCATGAATGGTTGAATAACTTTCCCCCGATGCCATTTTGTGATAGCTACACAAAATTTTGAGCCCTTATATACTTGTTAATGAGTTAAATGAGTTGCTTCTCAACCGAGTTTAGACCTTTCGAATGATGGGTCTATGTTTATATCTATAAACTGTTAAAAAATTTAAGAGAAAAGTATGGTTAATATCGAGTAAAACTGATGTTTATTTTTACAAAGTCGGCTAAAAATTAACTGAGATATTCAAATTTTCATGACAAATTATTAGAATATTGCGTTCACTAAAAAGGTTATAAAAAAATTTTTGAGTTATATAGCCAAAAATATTCTTTTTCTCATGAATGGTTGAATAACTTTCCCCCGATGCCATTTTGTGATAGCTACACAAAATTTTGAGCCCTTATATACTTGTTAATGAGTTAAATGAGTTGCTTCTCAACCGAGTTTAGACCTTTCGAATGATGGGTCTATGTTTATATCTATAAACTGTTAAAAAATTTAAGAGAAAAGTATGGTTAATATCGAGTAAAACTGATGTTTATTTTTACAAAGTCGGCTAAAAATTAAATGAGATATTCAAATTTTCATGACAAATTATTAGAATATTGCGTTCACTAAAAAGGTTATGAAAAAATTTTTGAGTTATATAGCCAAAAATATTCTTTTTCTCATGAATGGTTGAATAACTTTCCCCCGATTTTTTAGGTAAAAATCACTATATATTAAATGTTAATTTTGCATCAATTCAGGAGTAGTATAGTTGCTTTATAAAATAGTGCGTGAAAACTGCCAAATTTGAAAAAAAGACGAAAAAAATTTACATGGAAAATACACACAGATCTCGTTAAGTTTTCTAAAAGTGATAATAAAATAACACTCAAGAAAAAAACATATAAATATATAACGAATAATAAAAAATAATTACCTAAAGAACATACATACATAATTTTTTAGTATTTGTTATTATATCTGATTTATTCTTTTAATGGTAAATGAGATGATTATTTTTTAATTGTTTCTAAGTACATTGATTACTATTTATTTGAATATTTGAAACAAAATAGTTAATCACTAACATTTAAACAACCACCAAATCTTTTTTGCTATTCAAAATCAAATTAAAAATTAAAATTAAATTTATTGGATTCTTTAAATTTCTTTTTAAAGATGTGAAAACAAAGGCAAATAAACCATCACGAAAAATATTCTTTTGTGCATTTACCTGTGTCCTTTACCTCAGACGCTATATTTCTCCATGCCAAACTAGTCATGTCTGTTCTACAGTATTTTTTAGTTCCATAAACATGTTTTTTTTATTAATTCGACAAAAAAAAATCCAGGATGATGATTCCGCCTGTGAAACGATCATGCTTATTGCGAAAAATGCCGCTCAATACTAATCTCACCTCGATCAGAAAGCCGTATCGCACGTGCGATACGCATGCAATATTATATCGATAGCGATATTATATCGCAGCGGTGTCGCTGTCGTGCAAGTGTGCACAGTTTTCATCGCTTCCCACCAATTCCCACGTACTCAGCATGCCGATGTCGCATTCATATCGTATCGCGTATCGTATCGCATCGTATATCGTATCGCTCTGATGAGCGCCGTGCCTAAGAGCTTTTGTTTTTCTACTCTCGGGTTTCTATGAAAGCTACTTTACTTATTCCCCTTTTATACATTTTTACAACACTTACATTAAAATATTTAAAGTTATTTATTGAATTATCGCTTATATTTCTTTTAAAAATTCTGCACGCACGTGTTGATCGCTTGAAGAATTCGTATACATAAATTATCAGCTGTGATCGCGTTGCCAGACCTACTAAAATTATCTTCTGGGCAACAAAAAGACTTGGTACATATAAGGGGTGATCCATTAATACATTTCCTTTCTATATTAAGGTAACGATATGTGAATGAAAATTCTGCTATAGGGGCAGGCAGGGCTTAGGCTCTTGTTAACTAAGTACTGTGAATATGAAAATCGATAGTTAAACTCTTGTCAGAGGTTTACTACGCACGGTGAATTCTGGCCTAAATGAACTAGATTTCACTTCATACTTAATGTTCTTGTATCTACAAAACATGCATGTTAAATTACTGCACTGCAAATATTGCAAATATCCAAATTTTTATATCAAATATCCAAAATTTTAAGTGGTTAGGTGTACGCGGCCGCAGGTGTATATAAGAAAATATTTTCCTTTGTTTCTAAATTACTTTATTTGCTTTTTATATGTATATAAGATACTCGTGTTTTATCTTTGTTTTTATTTTTAGACACTTTCAATACATCGTTGTCCACGAATATGCACCGATATTGAAGAAAGGTTGGCAGAAATGACTACACTACGTAACATAAAAGTGGATAATACAACAAATATGGATAATGCTTGTTTACTTCGGTTAAAAAAACGTCTTGAGTGCTGATATTTTGTTGCCACCTTTTTCTTTTTTCTTGTATTACGTTGAATTCTATAATTATGGCTGAGATCTTCCATTTAAGATCAAAATGTTATTGCTGTTGTTATCGAAAGCGTTGCTCATTGACCTTTTAGTGAAAAATATTACCAAACATGTTAAAAAATAGTGATAATTATTACCAAAAATGTTGAAAAATTAAATAAAATTATAAGCACTCACTGAGACCTGCGGACCATGATAAATGTTTTAACTAAACAAATTATTTATTCAAGTTAAAATAGCAACCATCAATTGATCCTCTGAATGGTGGTCATGCCTATGTTTGGGCATGCAGCTGTGCACAAAGGTACCTGTGCTTCCTTTTTTAAGCGGGTTTATTGAGGACATAATTTTCCATTTAGGCTTAAGGTGTTAGTAGTCGCCTGACATTTATGATTCTGAATTCCTGAAAAAGTTCTGTTATGTTGCTGCATATTTGTACCCGCTATTCTGTTTTCCCTCGTTTGTGTTGCCAATATAAAACGTCCTAATAATATCAATTAAAACAAACAAAACTACCCTGAACTTTTAAAGTCTCAACCAAAAAATCGCAGNTCGTTTGTGTTGCCAATATAAAACGTCCTAATAATATCAATTAAAACAAAAAAAACTACCCTGAACTTTTAAAGTCTCAACCAAAAAATCGCAGACAGTGACTGAAATGTATCTGCGTATCTATTGCTACTGCTATTAATATATATATGTATGTATGTATTAAATATGTACGTATTGATATGGTAATAAGAGAAACAAATTCAACTTGTACTCACCTAGGTCTCCAGCGGGGATGGTACCAGCATGCTGCCTGAGAACCTGTGCTTTACTACTTACACAAATGCTCATACATACATATTTACCCACCACTCCACCACTCTCAGTACTATCACTCGTTCGTGATTCGGGGCATCGAGCGGGTCATAGTATCGCGCGGTAAAACTACTTACAATTCAAAAAAAGCTAAACGTGAATGTACTTGAACTAATCTAATACTAAAAACACCGATAAAGGTGAATCAAAACCCGTGGTTTTGATAAAGCAAAATTCAAATAGTGTTGAACAACAGTGAAGTTTCAAAAAACGAAAACAAGAAAACTAGAAAACTAATATACGCGCGCTTATTTACACCCCCACATTCATATATGTATGTATGTATATGCATATATGTACATACATATGTATGTCTATATGCGTCTTCGCTTATCCAGATATGTATGTAAATATATGTTTGTATATATTTAAACTGCCAAGCTCCGGCGCCAACGGAATTTAAAGCAAAGGAATGTGGCTGTCTAAATGAGAAATTAACAAAAGGTAACAAAAACTTTATGGGATAACTTAAGAGAACGTAAGCAAGGTATTCAAGCAACAAAAAATATTCAAACAAAACACCCAAGAGAGTTGCCCGCGATATTAGCGGCGCTGCTGCTGGTCAGCAGCGTGGTCGAAGCGTCCACCGATAATGCTCCCACGGCGCTGCTCCTGTTAGCGCTGCCTCGCTTGGCGCTGTTATTGCGCTCCCTCGATATTATGCTCCCTGTTGTCTCCTTTTATTTTTCACCACCTTTAACATTCACCCCCAAGTGCTGTTGACCTGTTCCACTCGAAATAGTCTGAACAGCTGTAGGCGTTGGACGTTGTTGTTGCTTACCCAGCTGCTGTTCTGTTGGCATTTGCGTGAATCTTGTGATGCTATCGTAAGTGTTGTAAATTATATTGGCGCGGAAACGTGTTTGTGGCAATGTCTCGGTGGTCGGTGTGTGAGGATGTGTGCTTGGGTAAGTACCCAACGGTTGTTGAATGTTGAGTTGTGGCAAATGATCTGTAGTTGGTGCGTGTGAATGCTTGTTTGCGTGCTTCCTGTGGTGTATACTAGCCATGTGTTGAAGACAATATATTTGTTGTACGTAGCTGCGTATTAGGCTGGGTCGATTTTGTATGGGGGAAAATAAAAGTCATTTGACCGCACTGTAATAGTAATATTATGATGTTTTAGGTCTAAGCCAATTGTTATTGGCCAAGAAAGATTAATTTAAAACTTATCTTTAGCCCGCGCAATTAAATCAAAGTGTATGAATTTCGAAAATGAAACTTTGGCTTGTAATATCTATGGAATGAGTTATTGTTATAAAAAGGATGATATATCAAATTAAGGGCTATTAAATTTAGTACCTCACGTTCATTTATCATTTTTCAATAAGTCTACACGTTTTTAAGATATCAAGATAAAACTTACAAAAACTATAATATTCCCTTATGAATTTTCAATTCTTCATTACTTCAGCAACCAAGTGAAAAATACAAACAAGTGAGACGAGATTTATTTCAAACGGTTTAATGTTTTCGGATGTTTATGTAATACTAGAGGGACCATAGACTTAGTCACGCTTAGTCGTGGTGAATGAATGTATTGCCAAAAATTAGGAATCGTTTGACAAGTTATTAGTAGTTTCAAACATATAAGAATTAACATACATTAGCATAATACAATTAGGGTGAGAAACGCCCATTTTAAGTCCATTTTTGCAGTCTTGAAAACTGGTGCGGAATGGTTTCATTAGTCGCCGAAGAAGCACATTTTTCGCTGTTTCTAAATTTGCCGTTATATGAAAGTAGGGGACGTGCAATAAGTTTTTAGATATACATAAATATTTTAGTTAATTCCATTATGTGAAAAAGTGACTGTAGGATTTACAGTACTCTTTAACATGTCCTGGGAAATCCTTTTGAGGACTCTCCAATTGGACGATATTGCTTTGCATTCAGCTTGAATGAAAAAAGTCACTCGCTGGCACAGTTTTCTGTAATCCGGTTCTTTTATTTAAAGGTTATTTATACAATTGAAGATAATTTAAAAAAAAAAAATGGAGAGCCACTTAAGTTTTTCGATATAACTTTGGTAAATGTTACTCGATCGGTACGTAATAATTAACAAATTGAAAGCGAGACTTACTGTTACTGATTTATGATAACAATATGATGAAAATCGTTCAGATTATAAACCAGTTATTTTAATATAAAAAAAATTTTAACATTTTTTTTTGTCATTTTGCTATATTTGCAATTTTTAAATTGTATGCATAAACATAAGTAAACTAATTAGTGTTTCCAAAGTTGTGCCTGTTCAGTGTTTCCATACTCATTTCAATAAACAAAATTTTTCCACGATGATGGAAAATAATGGCTATTCTATGAGAGCTACCGAAATTGTTCCTAAATTTGCAAAAATACGCAAATTATAGCTAATATTAAAAAAAGATTAGAATATTTGGAACTAGCGATCTAAATGCACGCCAGCAATATTAATGCTGTTCATCACATCTTTTGACTATAGGCCAGTGCAATTATCAAGAGAACAATTAAAATTTCTTTGAAAATAGTTAAGTTTCAGATTAACGATAAGCTAAAGTGCTGCGAGAAATGATATTTGACTTTATCTTTTGCGTTAACGGATTCATTATCTAATAATATGCACCAACCCTTTTTACTGAACCCAGAATTTTTATCAAGAATTGGTCTTATTCGACTAGTGTGCTGTGGGTCTCTTGGCGGTCGATGCGCGGGCTCTCACAATTAAAATAAAATACTAATATTTTGCAGGCTTGTTGTTGACTTCATGATACAATATATTTTCACTATTACCAAGGGATTTGAGAAAAATTTGATTTTCGACCCGCCCTACTGCGTATGGATATGTGTTGGTGTGTTCATGTAATCTGTCTGGTACACGAGTCTCTCAGACGGAGCAAGCTATGTACATGCCGGTTGCTGGTGGCCAATTCCAGATTTCCGGTTGGTGGAGGTCCTTTTATTCATACGTACGTATGTGCAGGCGACCTGAAAGGGGGAGAAAGCTCTGATTTAGCACATTGAATGGTACAGTCGTAGATCTGCCGCTGCTGTCATAAAACTAAAAAAAAATTAATAATTCGTGCCTTGTCTGCATACATACATATGTGCATACATACATATGCATTTAGTAAGATGCAGGCTTATGCATGTGTTTAGATTTGAGGCATAACAATATGTGGTGCTTACCTCCAGTTCCAGATTTTAGCTCTTTGTGGCGGCTTGGGTACACCGGTACCGCGATAATCCGGTAAAACGGCACAATTCACACAACTATAGGGAAAGTCTGTATATTTGACTATATAAACTTTTTTTTTGAACGCTTTCTTTTTTTCTTTTAACACTTAAACTGGTAACGTTCGCACAGTTAAAACACCCGGTAATCACAACGTTAGCACCGCAACCTTTGTATCTGACCCGTTCGCCACCATCTGCGTCATTTTATACCCTTTGGCCCGGCTAACTGACTCAGACCGTCTTATGTACTTATTTTCTTACATATTTAGTTACAAGGAAAACTCGAAAGAACAACCGCTGTTTGGGAGAACCATTAACACACACACCCCTTTGCTTTGCTTTGCTTNCCTTTGGCCCGGCTAACTGACTCAGACCGTCTTATGTACTTATTTTCTTACATATTTACAAGGAAAACTCGAAAGAACAACCGCTGTTTGGGAGAACCATTAACACACACACCCCTTTGCTTTGCTTTGCTTGACCGACCGAACTTTCTCTGGGCCTCTCGTTGCCGAAGTTGATGTTTGATCAGCTATGTTCGCTCAAACATTCATACACTCACACATTTACACTTAATTAACATTGACGTTTGGTTGACTGGCACATGTTCGATCTCGTCCCCACAATCACACACAATTACACTAAGTTAACATCGATTCCCTACTGGCTTATGTTTGGTCCACTTCATACACACATACATGACTATACCGAAGTATCTGGCAAACAGCTGGCGCTACAGTTCCTAAATTTACACATGCGCCATATATGTAATACTCCTATATTGGCAGTAAGAGCTAGTACCGTCCGAAAACACTACAGTACAGATATATCAATAAATACGTACGAAAGAAAAGGAACACATACGTTTATAAATAAACATGTACACAACGCATACACAAAAACGGCACTCAAGTACACAATACATTGACAAAAACGGTACTAGAATGTCTCGCTTTGATTTCGGAATGCTTACACATTGAGAAGTTAGCTTACTGCCAATATAGAAGTATTACATATATGACATGCGCTATAGGGTAACTGACATAACTTCCATGGAAGTCGAAACCCCGAACTATAGTGGTTATATACTTAGATAATTCGTCTAAACATGTAAAA